CGACAAGGTGTTTCATGAGGCTTCCACAAGTCGTCACTCATGTGAAAAACCCGAGCGTTGACGGGGGTTGCCCCCTCCGCAAGATGAGGCCCCACTCAGTCTGCGTGATCTGCGTGTAGGGAGGGTCTGAAACATCTTTATAGGTTTTCATTGGCATTAGGTCTGACGCCAATTTTAATGTCTCTACTGTCTCCATGCTTTAATGTTGAAAAAGCTCTTTATTTTTCTCATACTGCCTCTTTTCACCCTCTGTCTGAAACCAGAGCCCAGTCTGCTCTGATTGGTTAGCTGGCCGGCTTTGTTGTGATTGGTTAACTGCTTAGAGATGTGTCAGAAATGTCCCTCCCCGTAGCCAATTATACAATGTGTTGGAGAGCTAGCCAATAGAAGTGCAAGTGTTACATAGTGATGTCACTATGTTACGGAAGTAAACAAAGGAGTCTAAAGAAGGCGTTTCAGGCAGGGGGGGAGTGTGTGGGAGAGAAACTCCCTCTGGAGGGAACCTTGGGATTGTAGCCTTTGCAGACCATTAACATGCACACAAACCTATAACACACTACAGGAAAGGGAAAACACAGACATAATAGTACTGCCCCTTTAAGGATCTAAATACTTCTTTAACCAATGCCAAAAAATGTAGATGTCAATAACACACTGTACTTTATTTTGGCTCAATCCCCATGTCACTTATGATATGATAAATATTGCTTACAGAAATGTGAACTCAGTGTCCTCAAGCAAATAGAAATTGTCTTTATTGTAACTCATGTTAATCACTCACATCACCATTCATCTGTTACATCACCTGCATGATATGAAAACAACAACAATAATTATATATATATGTACAGCAGCAGGGCGGCTTCTGAAAGGCGAGTCACAATCAACGACCTCTGACCTCAGTTTGTCATGAGTCATAAACTTCAGAGAGTTTAGACAGTAAAACCTGAACCAGGGTGCTTCTACCTGCAAGTGCTGTTACATAAATCTATTTAATTAAAGGTTAAATAAAAATGACATCATCATCATGAAATGATGCATGCAGCAGTTAGAATATCTGGTATGTTGATGGTGGCATGCCTCCACTGAAGTCGCCCTGCGTGTTAAAACAGCCTAATTAAATAAGAAAAGAAAAGAAAAACAATTTGAAATGTACAACAAAAACCAAAATAATCATGAAATAATCTTTGTGTCATCATGGTGTTAGTCACAGCAACCAGCTTCCTGTTTCTAACTACACACAACCAATCAGAACAAAGCATAAATCCTCAGTGTCATCAAACAGTGCAGAGTCATTCCCCGAAAAAGAAAAGTAATAAAGGAAATCATCAACGTAAAGTGACCGATGCTCGCTCACTCCATCTCACAAATCTTCATCCAGTTATTTTTCCCAGTTTTTTTTTTTTCAACAGATACAGGAAGCGTGTGCGAGGCAGACGTGGAAGGGTGTGATGCAGGATTTAGCGGAGGTGATTCTGCCGTTGGCAGTGAGAGTGAAGAACAGTCCGTAATCCTCACACAGGTCTGAGATGCTGAAACATGATTTTTTGAGATGTGCTGCGAGTCTCGTTTATCCTTTAGTAACTCACATTAATACAGAGACGATACCATGACTGTAAACACCTGAGAACTACGACACTCAATACATGACAGCATCTGGGCACGTCCCCTCTACGCCAAGGCCACGCCCCCTTTTGGGTGACGACATTTGCTGCGATTGGCAGGGGTAAATACAGGTTTTGCGGTTTTTCACTAATGACATCAAAAAGTTCAATTAGGATGGTCAGTCAGGAAAAAACTAAACAATGTCATCGGAGTTCGATGATTGGCATATAGTTGAATTTAAATCGATAGATGTCCGGTCAGTCAGCCGTTGGACGAAGGGCAGGCTCTCACAGTTGAACTGCATTGGTTTGTCAATGTTTTGTATATTTCAATGCAGTATATACATTATCTGAGTTTTAACATGTTTACCCGACGCCTTACATGCATCGGGTCGGGTAGTCGGGCCAAATAAATCACTAGCCAAAGTTGAGCAATGTTCAACTTTTGAAGCTTCGACGGAAGTGTCAGCCAATCAAATCATACGCCAGTACAAGCTCTAGCCAATCAAACCGTGTGCTTGTGTGTCCGGGTCGGGAGATTCATGCGATTGGTTGTTGGTCGAGTTTCAGACACGCCCGCCGGCAAGCTTCAAAGCACGCCGCCGTGTGGACGCTGCGTGACGGGTCCCACTGAATATGATCTCTGTCCTCTCTGTGGGTGTCCTGATGCCACAGATCTTTTCATTTATCTTTCCTTTTTCTAAGTCAAAAAATAAATAAATTCGGAACTCTGGATCTTTTTGTTGTTTGACGTGCATTACGAGATACAGCAGCTTTTAAGGCCCTGACACACCAGGCCGAAATCGGCCGTTTTCGTTAGTCGGACGACGAAGCGTGCCCTGTCGCCCAAACTCAATTTGGTGTGTCCCGCACCGTCGGCCGTGACACGCCTTACATGCGTCGGGTCGGGCAGTCGGGCCAAATAAATCACTCTGATTGGCTGTTCAGCTAGCTAATCAGTGAAGCGAAACGGAAGTGAGGGATGTAAATAAACGCTTTAAGAAGGCACGAAGAATGTCTTCCGCAAGCAACACTCCAATGGCTGATAGCTCCAGTACCGCACGAGACAGTGAAAATGGAACGCACACGCTATTTGTTGTTTGTTTATATCACGGAGTCTGTTCTTCTTTTCTGTCTTCCGGTTGCTGCCTCTTTTGAATGACGAATACACACTACCGCCGCCTGCTGGTAAGGAGAGTTATTGCCACTCACGCATGCGCAGTTCGTACGTGCTACTTGGCCGTCGGCTAAAGTCTTTGCGGTGTGTTCCAGTGCGACTGTTGGCCAAGAAGCAGGAGACGTGAGGCAACACAACAGTCGTGTTCCGTCGGGACGTGTTCTTTGGTGTCAGTTTGGTGTGTCAGGGCCTTTAGGCATGATAAAACAAAAAATATTCCACTTGATTTCATCAGAAAAGTGAGCGAGGACGTTATTTTGCCAAGCAGCGACGTAATGCTGCTCTCATCTGTATGGATATTGTAAAACTATAAAAGAATAGGCTTAGAGAGCAGGTAGAGTGTGGTTATATGTGGAGAAAACAATCAGAATGTCCAGGATCTATGTCATACATTTACCAGAAACATCCAACTTTTCTTCTCCACCAGCTCTACCAATAGATGTTTTTAAGAAAGGTAGCTATAATTAAAAGTGTTCATTTAAGATGACTAGTAATGTATACATTTTAAAACACAATGCATCAACTCCAGATGTAACTTTCTTGTAAATGTGACCAAAGAAAGCAGAATTTTGCTGGAAACTTAAAAACATGGCCTACCATCTTTTCAACATGTCTCACACAAACCTGATCTACCACACTGAAAGACCGGCAATGATTAGGGATTATATATGGAGGGTGTAATGGAGCTTAAGGAACGTCTCATGTGTTTGCAGTCAGTGTACCAACCTCTCTCTTTTAATTTCATTTTCTAAAAGATCAAATGCAATACATTCTAACTTTAAAATAGTCTGTTCAGATCAATATTTCAATTTTAAATCAACAGCTGTGTTGCTGTGACATGTTCAAATGTGCTAAAGAAGACAATTTATCCATATGATGCTAATGGATATATCACTTTCTAAATATATATATATATATATATATAATATATTTCTATGTTTGCTTAAGAAGTGTCCATGTGTACATAATGAAGATGTTCAGTTCAGTTTGAAGTTGAGGAGAAAAATGTTCTTCAGTTATTTCCCATCATGCCTCTGTCCTTTGGTTTGGGAACCTTCCCAAATGGGTCCTTCCTTCGTCTTCTCTTATTTTCTCAACATTCATGTGTTGATATAATTCACTTTTTTACATTTTCATTTAGATTTTAATAACAAACATGCCACTTCTCTATGTATTACTAGAAAATAGCTGCACTTCATGTGGTCACTAAGCAACACTTAATGCCTATAACCTGTTTATTGGACAAACCAACAGAGTTGCTGCCACAGCGCTCTGAGTCTCTGGTTATCGTTGTTCCTCTACACTCCTCTACACTGCAAAAAGTGAGTTTTTATATCTCTGTATGCGTGTACTGAGGTAAAACAGGGCAGTGGCTTATGCTGTACTAAGAAAAAAAGACAAGCAGGAGACAGTTTGATCACAGCCAATGGGAGCTGAACTTTGAGAGGGAATGCTGCTCCACCCTGATATACATATCAAATATTCAAGTTTAGTCATACAACCTTTCTTAAAAGTCCGGACCATTTTTGAATCCCTGATAGACACTTTAAAATAATATGGACGACAAAGGATATGAACACCAGAACATCCCAGTAGTTTGTGTTCTTCAGTTGTGGAAGGTAACTAAGAATATATATTTACTCAGGTACTTAAAATGTAAGGTACTTTACTTCACTGTATTTTCACATTATGCTCCTCTATACTTTTAACTCTACTACATGATTTTATTGCATTAGTTACTATCAAATTAGCAGATTTAGTTTATGAGTAGAAATATTAATTAAAGGTGGGGTAGGTAATTTTGGAGAAACCAGCTCGAGTGCGCTAGAATTTGAAAATACACAGCCGGTAAAAACTCTGCCTCGTCCTTCAGACTTCCTTACAGAGCCCCTCCTCCAACACACACAAACGTGCACATGACCAATGAGGGCACGAGATTAGTTTGTGCACAGATGGAAGGCTGACAGGCAGGTAGGCCATCCAGTTACTTTAGCCGGGCTGGCTCAGATGATTGGTCGTGCTTTTTACAGCGCTACGGCTTCCACAGATGACATTTTTTATGGATTTATTGTCAAAGCACTTAAGATATTCATTGCTATCGGGATCTTAAGAGCATTCCATGGAATATAACAAAAAGTGTATCTCGAGCCGGTTTCTCAAACTTACCTACCCCACCTTTAAATTGTGGTCATGTTTTTATTCAGTTTCAGGTTTGTGTCTGATGTAACATTTCCTGTGCTCCTTTGTGTTTCTAACATCTTGCGACTGTGGTCAGGTGTGTTCATAATGACATATTATTTTAATAACATCTTGAAGTTTTAAGGTAAAGCACAAGGAAAACATAACTAGCTTTTCATGTCTGGCCTGGACTCAGAGGAAGAAAATAATATGCCTATAACAAATCAATAAATCAGACATACATATATTTAGTGGTAAGTTAATGTCCTCAGGATGTGTAGCTTAAAAATCTGACTGTGATCAAAATGTCTCCTATTTTTCTTTTTTGGTGCTGGGAAAAAAATCCTGTCAATATGACATCATAGATGGCTAAATCAATAGAAATATATACTTTTGAACTATCACTGAAAGCTCTATTCATATAGATCTGTGTTGAGACCTGAATCAGAGTTTATAGGAATGTTTATTTTTAAGCCTGACTGAAGCAAGAAGCTTGATAATAAAATATTTGCTTGTCTGATAGAAATTAAGATCTCTGTCAGATTGAATAGAAGAAGCCCCTCCATCTGTTACATCCTTTCATAATCCAGAGACTCCTTGAATACCACGTCTTCAAACATTTGAAACAAACTGTTGAAGCTTAGTGAGATTAGGGTTGGACAATATAATTATATAAATGTCAAATATTTTGCTGTATAAAAAGGTCAGTAGGACATGGCAATATTCCAAATACATTAGTAAGCATTAAAGTAGCAATAGACAATAAGGAGAACATTTGATTTTGTTTCCCTATTGCATTTCTATCACCCGGGTACCATCTCCTCCAATTTAAGGCTCCAGTTACGGCACAAACTGTGGAAAGAAGCTTGCTAGCATTAGATCCAGAAGTCGCTAGATGATATCGCTTACTAGTTGTTCTGGTTGAAGCGAAGGACAGACTGACAGCGGCAGCATCACAACTCAGAGAAGTTGGGGAGGGATGAAACGTTGGAAAGATTGTCTACTGCTACTTTAACATCTTGGTCTTTTTTTACCTGTCACATGTTTTTTTTGCCAGATTAGCTTAAAACACATTTCTGTCTAACTATTTTATCCGTTAAACCTTTCTTGATGTTACTGATTAAAGATATATCATAACAAATGTAGATATTTTAATATTTAAAATGATATATATCATGATAAAGGGCTTTAAATAACGCATACTCCTAGAAGGCATTCTTGCAGAGATGCTAGCTGCTGAGCTCATTTGTTAACAAGCTAGTTACTAACACACCAAGTGGTGTTAGATAGACAAAATAGCTTGCAAAGCTATCGGTAATTATCTAGCAAAGTATCTCGCAAAGCTATTATTAGCTAGCTAGCAAGGAAGCTCCGTAGCTTACTAGAGAAAATTGATCTTGTTTATGCAAATCACGATGCATCTTGTTCAGCGCTAACAGATTAGCAAGGAATCAATTTGCCTACAGAAGCAAATCTACAGATTGCTTTCTGAAATTCAATTCATTTTGTTTCAACATCTGCTTAAGAATGCGGAGGGGACTGGGATTTTCCTTTGTAGGTCAGACCCACTAGTGTTGGCTCTGCTCTCAATTTGAGTATAACCTTCCAAAACTAGCATCACAACCTGCTCTGTGCTTCCACATTTAAACCTGACCTGTGCTCGCTCTGCAGTTTTGTTATTAACACATTTCCACAGACATCTAGAAGCTTATGATACAGGAATCTCCAGCTCTGCTTTAAAACAGTTCATGTGTGCAGCAGGAATCTAAAGCCACTGTGTTTTCATTCAAACCTTCACTGTGATCAAACCTGACGTCTAACTGACAGGTCTGACTGTGATGGTGGTGATGGTGGTGGTTGAAGCAGTGGTGATAATAATGAGTCTGAGTTGTTCCCGTTCCAGGATCCTGCAGTGATCCAGAAGAGCAGGGGCATTGTGGGAGACGCGGTCCCAGCGGCGTCAGAAGAGACAGAATTTCTTCTTAAGGTTGTTCCTCTTCCACAGAGAGAGGCGGTCGAACTCCTCGATGGTTATCCCGAAAACACTGAAGAACTCCTCCTGAGAAAGGTGTCTCTGCAGGAGAGGGACAAAGAGAGAGGCAGCGATACAGAGGGATTAGATTAGATATATTGTCCCCAGGGGGAAATAAATGTTCACAGCACTCTACAAATACACAATATACATACAATTACAACAACAATAACACAGACAACAACATATAGCGGCACACATTGCAGCGACGCCTGTTATTTAAGGCTGCATGAATCAAGCTTTTTTCAAAGCGAGCCCTTTTACATTTCAATGTTCTGTGCCTACACCCGGATTGCAGTGGGGCGAGGTACTGAATAAGTGGGTGTGTGATTCTATTGTTGCAATGCGTGAGATGGCCCTGTTGTTAAGTATTTTGAGGGTGGTTGCAGGGAGTCCAATTATCCAGGCATCAGTGTTGGTGATGCTTGGAGTTTGGTCCGGTTGGTGACAGTGAGCATATTGAAAAAGCAGGAGGAGCAGTACATGAGGATGGGTGGGATAATGCACAGTTGTAGGAGAAGAGGGGGGGAAACGTAAAGTCCTTTGAATTTATGGATGAAGGATAATCTTTGTTGCTCCTTTAGAAGATGTCGGTGGTGTGTTGGTTGGAATTAAGTTTATGTGAGATGGGTATTCGGGGGATTTAGGCCATATGTGTGGGCTTTAACAAAAGGATGGAGTGGAAACAGTCATCATGGGAGAGGGAATATCCAATGATTCAACGGGCTGCAAACAACATTACATTACATGTCATTTGTTAGACGCTTTTATCCAAAGCGACTTATTCAGTACTATGGACAATCCCCACATGAGCAATTTGGGGTGAAGTGTCTTGCCCAGGGACACAACGACATGCTGACTGCAGTGGGACTCGAACTTGCTTCCCCCTGATTCGAAGTCCAGCACACTATCCACTGAGCCACAGCCTCCCTGCCCAGCCACCATGAAATACTTCTCTATTTTATTCAGAAACCTGAAGGAATGAACACATGCTTACCAAGATAAGATTGTACAAGTGGCGGCTATGACATGATATGATATTTAACACTTTGAAGTAAAGCTGACAGTTTTACCTCCAGCCGGGTTCTGTCAACACCGGGGGGCATTTTGCTCCGCCCTCTGTGGGTCACCACCAGCATCTCATAGGGGCAAATCTGAAAAAAATCAAGCAGTCAACAAACAAACCAACCAACCAACCAACCAATCCATCCACCAATCAACTAATCACTCCAAATAATAAGCTATATAACATTCAGAACTTTTTTATAGGGTTAAATGATCAGTTCACCTAAATTACTTATTTTGTTTGATTAGCATAAAAAAAACATAAGAGTGAATGATATTATAACTACAATTTTTTTAAACTTTAACAACACTGGATTCTTTGCCTATTCCTTGACAGCAAAGGTGTTGTCCCTATGTCCACCTAATATAAATTCAAACACCATGACACAATTCCATCAGATTAATGATAAAAACCTAGAGGACATTATTCAACTTCTGAAATCTTCCTCCTGCTGCCTTGATATTATTCCAACAGGATTTTTCAAAGATGTTTTTCATTGCATGGCCTCAGATCTACTTCATATAGTAAACAAATCTCTTCACTCAGGTATTTTTCCACAGGCCCTGAAAACTGCAGTCATTAAACCGCTCTTAAAAAATAATAATCTAGACGCTTCAGTAATGAACAATTACAGGCCCATATCAAACCTGCCATTTCTAGGTAAAATCATTGAAAAAGTAGTTTTTCAACAGTTGAGTAATTTCTTGCATTTAAATAACTGTTTCGATGTGTTCCAGTCAGGCTTTCGTCCAAACCACAGCACTGAGACTAGTCTTGTAAAGGTCTTCAATGGCATCCACTTAAACACAGACAGTGGCAGAACTTCAGTGTTAGTATTATTAGATCTCAGTGCTGCGTTTGACACTGTTGACCACAACATATTACTCGACCGACTAGAAAACTGGGTGGGACTTTCTGCAACAGTTCTAAATTGGTTTGAATCCTACCTAAAGGACAGAAAAAACTTTGTTTCTATAGGTAAATACACATCTGAGTTGACAAATATGACATGTGGGGTACCTCAAGGCTCCATCTTGGGGCCTCTTCTCTTTAACATCTACATGCTACCACTGGCTCAGATAATGAAAAACAACAAAATAAGCT